ACTCTTTTGTGAATATCAACGAAAGGAACTAATGAGAACGCGAATATATGGAAATCGCTGTATTCCTGTAACTCTTCATCTTCGATCTTCTTTCATAAAATACATTGTTTATATATAGCGTGGTTGCTGCTCCCATCACAACCCCATTTGTAGATAAGTGTATACCCGTCGTATGCTACCACATTTTGGTACAACGCTCTTCTCATCACGCTTTCAAAAAGGCGTTTCGTGGTGTGCTCCACAAATTCCTGTAAAGGCATTTCAGCAACAGATGAATGAATAGAGATCTAATATATCGTTATATAGGTATTATTCAATATTATTGACTCTATGTTTAAAATACCTGTAGGATAGCATAGCTTCTTAGATTCAACCATTGTGCTATAAGCTGGGTACATGTCCACGCCCTTTGCTTATATTCTTTTCTCATTTTGCGACGTTATGAAATGAACAATTCAGCGTCTCAAAACTTCATTTATTTGAATTGCTCAAACGTCATCTAGCACATGGCACAGAGAAAAACGAAATAGACCGTTGTGAAACGGAATGCAGTATCAAAAAAAAAACAGCAAATACGGCTTCCAGAAACTCGCTCTTCTGATGGTCGTATGGTTACAAGAAGTTCAAATTTAAAATAAACCCCGTTAATATGCACGCAGTGTCGTTCAGATTAAGGGGGGGGGGGGTGGTTCGCGCAATAAATAATATTCTTGTTTATGTTAAAGACATTAACAGTCGTGCTAGTGTGCCATTTATTATGCTATTTTGAAGATTTGTATGCTTTATATTTATATATACATAATAGTGTATCATCAATCTGGTTCTTTAATACTCGAAAGATATCCGACAATGTAGATTAATGGAATAAAAAGCCCTATTTTCAAAATGGATTAAAAATATGGGTTTTTATTAAAAGCAACAAAAATTACCTTCACCAAAAGTTGCTAAAATGTACTTCTTGATATGCTTTTTAAAGTGATATGAAACACTATCGGTTGTACTTACGCCATTTTGAAATGTTACACTTGAAAGTTTGGGCTAAAAGACTACAAAACTGACGATAACTTTTGACAGAAGACTTGTACTGGTATAGTAGGTATGTTTGAAGAAAATGTGTATTTTAATATTAACTACAATCGCTCTGAACATAGTAGGCCAAAAAAGTGATGTTTAAAAAAATATGACAAAAAACTGATTTTTGGCTTTTGTTTTCTTAAGTGGCTTATATCTTCAAGCATAGAAGAGATAAACGAAAACGATGTTCTAAGAAGTTTTCTAGTTTTTTTTTATTAGTTAAACAACTTTGTAGAACATTTAATGTCTCTATCTATTGAAATAAAAATAGTTAGATACCAAATTACGTTACTGGTAGAATTTGGCGTTTAGGACACTTTTTGCAACCAACGCGAATAGAGCTCACAAGAAAATGATTAGAATGCATCATTACGCTATCTCTAATATTTTTCGAGTTATTAATTTATTCCACCTAATTTTGCTTCCTGGACCACGATGCATTGTTTGGTCCTTGAACCTTGATGCAATCCATCAGCTCTTTGAGAAGCATTGGAAATTTGTCTTTCAGTAGAGATGTTTCGTTGCCTTGGGAAAGTTTTCATTTTTTAAGTATATTACGCCAAGCAGTCTTGAGAGGACGAAAAAATGCCACATCTAACGGTTGTGTTAATTGAGTTGAGTTGGCTGGGAGAAAAATCAAACTGATGTAGTTATTGGAACGCAACTCAATAACCTTTAACCTCAAATGAACAACAATTATTCCTCCTATTAAAATTCTGTTTCTTGTTTTATACTTCAAATTAGGAATTGTAATTGTGGACAACCAGTCTTCGAAAGAGTATCTAACGTGCTCTGGTCCACATTCAGTCCATGAGTTATACAAATAAACAGCTTTATAAACAACATACGGTGGTAATATGGTACCATCTCTTGCAGCACTAAACATCACCGAAACAGACGCTTTTGTAATGTTCATTACCCGTTCCGGATATTTGCAGCCACGTCTAGTTATAACCTTACTTTTTTCCCGGGTCATCGCACAAGTTCGTTTCATCATAGTTTACAATATTAGAAGGTGGTACATCTAGGAGCTCCTTACATAACTTGTTGAAGTAGTCATTGATGAATTTGTGAAACACAGCAGACCGGTTCCTCTTAATATTCTGGCACATCCTATATGACAACTCAAAAACAATGCAGTCACAAATAAGCATATATATTTAATAAATGATGTATAACAGTGTACAATGCTGAATAAAACGAGTTGTCGAATTATGTGCTGAAAAAGCTCATTGAGATCAATAGATGCACATTTATTCCACTGTTTGCTCTGATCTGATTAATTTACTTATTAAAAGCTGTAAAAGCGTTAAATGTCTTCCCAATTCAACGCTAGAAGTTTGATCCGTACTGAATAACAAACTGAATAAGTGTAATTTTTAAATACATTGACACATAACACGACTGTTTTCAATTGATTTAATAACATGCTATAGATTTCATTGCATTGCTTTACAATATTGCTGAATAACGGTGAACACGGTCAGCACAATAGCTCTTATACCACTATGGGTCCCGAGATGCGTCCATGTTGTAATCACATGATTTGTAAATGCTTTATAAACGACGTATTAGATTCATTATTCGACAACACTGGTTCAGTCTAACAACAAGACGAAATCAGTAGAGTAGTGGTTACCGTTTCCGCTTTCCAAGTAGAAGGTCGTGATTTCAATCCCCCCAAGCTCAACCCTTTTTTATTTGTGTTCTACGTCTTATTAATTTAAATAGTAATCACGACAATGATGCATTGATCTAGATATAACCGAGCATCCTTTCTTTCGACTTGGAGAGGTGAAGAGGCAATATTGGTCTCATTTAAAATAACGATGAATGAATTAATCATTCCCGCAGGGCCTTGAAGGAGCTAGAGTTGCGATCGGGAGTGGTGTTTACTTTCAAGCAAGCTTTTGTTGATCATTGAGCTGCCCTTATGATGAATTCTAGGATAGCTCAGCGGCTGGTGATCGGGAAGGTACATGGTTCGAATCCCATGCAACGACATGTATATAAGTATTTAATAAATTTAACGTCAGATATAATGAAAACAACAATCACTTAAGAAACACACCCTGCCCTCTGACACCCTGTCCCTCTTATTTTTCGGGTTAATTTTCCCACAAATGCATTTTTGGCGATGTTTGTACCGTCAAAATGGCACCCTAAACGGGTTCAGAAGTACTTGTAACCATTCTAGGATGGTGCAATGGAATGTCCCCTAGATGTAGATAATGATAAAAACGGGATTAGAATACATTTAGGGTGTTTTTTTGTGGTTCAACCGAAGTGAAAAAAATGCATTTTTGGCGATTTTTGTAGCATCAAAATGGCACCCTAAACGGGTTCAGAAGTACTTGTAACCATTGTAGGATGGTGCATTGTCTTGTCCCGTGGGTGTAGGGAATGATAAAAACAGGATCAGAATGCGTTTAGTATGTCGGTTCATAAACTACGTAGACAGTTTTTTTGGGATTCTGGACCCCCCCTCCCCCTGCGTAGACAATTGTCCATACAAATGTTTTTAAATTTGTATGGGCTGTGGATAATTGTCAACCCCCCCCCCCTAAACTGTCTACGTAGTTTATGAACAGCCCCTCAGATTTCTCTTGAAGGTTGAAAATTTCTTACCTGTTTTATCCAAATACTCTTTAACAATGCGGTGTAACATCCAAGTATCAACAGGATAACCCCATTCAGAGCAAAGTTTAAGCCTTTGGATTAACAAACCTTCGTCAGGTTCAGTTAGGCACGTTTGTGCGCCTTGGGGTTTGATGGCATTTCCTTTTTTTTTTAATGCCAATAAATCACAGAGTAGCCATACTGCACTGCCGCAACCAATCCCACCAAGGTGGTCATACTTTAAAATAGGCCTGATAGGACTAGGAACTGTAAATAATAATTAAAATCTCAAATGTACCAAAGTTGAAAAGACGCATCTGTGTCACTTAACAAATTCATACATGTAAACCACACAATCACAAGAAATAAAGATCATTTAAATGGCAAAAAAACTGCACTGCCGCTTGGCAAATTTTTTTTTGTTAGCAACATCCTCAATGGCCTGCTTCAAAGTTTGTGTGTCTGCTTTGTTGTACGTTTTTGAACCTTTTGGTTTGTAGTTTCGATTGCATAAAACGAATGACTTCAACTATCTGCGCGATTGTTTTTATTCGCCCCGTCAAAGTGTGAATCGGGACCACGTATTCAAATATAAGTGATAATATGATAAATACCTGTTATGTTCGAATGTTTCGCTGTAGAAGTTTACACAATTTAATAATATAACCAGCGACAAACCGACATGAATGACCATAGCAAAAACAATAAAATTTCTGACCAACGCACACTACTGACACTCCGTGTTCGCGGGAAATATTTAGTAAAGCCATGAACCTGCACGGAAAAATTATGAATTGGTTCGTGTCTGATCTATTCTGGACAAATTATTTTTATCGAGATCAAAAAATCCTATGGTTTTGACAGTTAGGATATCTGCACATTTAAATCGGCCGTTTACGATTTTCGGGCATAAGTCAGAATTAAGTGTCATGTCGCTTTGTCGGTGATACAACTGCTACAGTACGTAAACAAGTTCGAATTAAACAAAAAGCGACTTTCACAGGTGAAGTTTTTGCGCACTAGCAAATACTACTAACTCGAAGCGCCATTTTATGAAATTGGTTGGTTGATTTTGGCCTAGAAGTTTGATCAGTTTTCAATAGTTTACTATTGATTAACATAAATGTTAATACCGATTAAATCTTACATCAAATCATAATAAAATGGTGTTATGAGAATTGTGATTCAATCATAAACGACCAAGAATTTAAAATCTAATACTATTTCGTTACACTTGCCGATGGTAAAATTGCAGCCCATTCGACAAAGATGCAGCCCAACTTAAAAAAAAATTAAGCTTGACCTACCTTCAACACCGTAACTGACGTTTTCAGTCCTTCCACTTTCTTCTTGCTCTCTCCGAGCTCGTCGTTTATTTGCTGGATGTCATCTAGAAATTGGTGGAACAACCGATCGCTTTCCAATTTCAAAGAGGGATCAGTTGACGAGATTTCTGAAAGGGAAACGATAGTTTAATTTGATGTTTAATATCTACTTCCTCGGACGTCATGAATCAACCTACCTATGAAGCCTAGCAGATCAGCCGTTTGCTGAATGTTTTTCCTGTATAGACCCCGCCAGGCGGCCCAGCACTCGGGGTCTTCGATGAGGCACAATATCAGTCCGAAGTAGATCAATTCCGGCTTGGCGATGAACTGAATGTTTTTGAACAGCGTCGTAAAGGTGCTAGAGGTCTTCGGGGCACTTAGGACGTACCGTTCCACGAGGATCTTGGAGGCGTCGTCAAGCAGGTTGGCCAGCTCGCGGTTACTTTTGTTCTGTGTCGTTAAAGAACTGAGTATGGTCAGGAAGTCACTGGATGAAATGTCAAGTCTGGAAATTTAAATTCGAAAAACATTAATGATCAAATTGCTTAATTTCTGACGAAAAAATATTCTAGGGTAAATGACGGCTGCGGCAATACCTTAACCTATTATCATCAGGAGCTTAATTTTGGCATGTGGATACATTGTGTTTCAGAGCATCTATTGGTCAAATTTGAGTGCTCTATGACTTTGTTTACCTCCCTGACGATAATAGGTTAAGGTATTGCCGAAGCAGACATTTCCCCTACGTGATGTTTACTATTTTAGTAGATTAGCGCTGATCTATATGCACTGTCGTTAACCCAAACAACCGGCTTATCCAGGTCAACCGAAACGAAAATAGTGCAACTCCATCAAACCGAACCAAAAGAACGTATTTCCCACAAAACATGTCACTCTTTACGACGGCTATCTATTGCCATCGGAGCAGCGGCTTGTGTAGCAATCACTGCATTGCCCCCTACACTGCACGCTGAAGCAACCAACCGTCGTCGCTCATTTAGTCGATAGCCGTTGCAATGAAATTCGAGAAGCAGTTGTAGGAACCAGAAACCCTTCGCTTCCTATGTCTGTTCTTGTTTTTTTTTTTTTGTCGATACTTCTCAGATTTGCGTGATTGCAACATTGCTACTTGGTTGCTACTGCGATGCTGCTTTCGTTTGGCGCGTGAGACACACCACACAAAACCATAAACAAGGGGCGAAATTAACGTACTTGGAAAGAAAGTTGTGGTCTGCGTGACACGGAGCGTGGCTTTTTGTTCATTTGTTTGCACCGCTAAATACGCTATTAGCCGAGATTGATGTGACTCTAAAACCGATCAAACAGATCGGACCAGAAAGACGGAGAACATCGATCGTGATTGTGGCGGGTGCTTGCTGACGTGTCCAGAATTTTTGGGAAGGGAGGTAACCGCATTGTTTAACAGCAATTCTTTTTTTTTTTTTTTTTTTTATGGGTGTCAAGCTGGAGCTGCGTGACAGCTTAATTTTCAAGACTTGACCCATTTGAATAAATTTTGCTTCTATCTTTGACAATACAGCAGAAGGACTAGCCTATGTTGGCCGCTTGAACACTGGATTCCGTGTGTATTGTTTCAAGATAGTTATAGAAAAAATGCTGTGACGTGTGCGCGTAGATACATCCGCGTAGTAAACCGATTGAATAAGTAAACCCGTTTCGAACGAAATATCTAAATTATGTAAGTTACGAAAACCGCGCGAATTCCGAAAGCCGCGCGAGACAACCGAAGCGAGAAAAAAAGGCTTATTATCATTTAAAGAGTGCCACCAAAATAAATGTGATAGTCTATGTTGGCAAGTTTATTAATTTTGGTTTCCTCCCTAGATATTCTACTTATTTACTACTGAGCTTTGTATCAAATTAGTTAATTTAAAGAACGTATCAATCATTTCAAGATTTCGCGACCGCACCGAACAAATTCTATAAGCTCAAAAGCGTTTGACAAGCTCTACCGAATTGCGTATCGCTTCTGCGTAAGCTCCGTAGACGTAGGCGCGTTGAATCCGACAGTCGGCAAAGGTTTAACCTGTACCAACACCGCTTAAGGAACGACCTCGAGTCAGTGAAACCGTTTATAGCTAAACATCTAAATTACGTAAGATACGAAAATCGCGCAAATTGTGAACGCCACGCGAAAAAACCGTATAGAAAAAACAACTTATTATCACTTAAAGAGTGCCACCAAAATAAATGTGATAGCCTATGTTGGCAAGTTGATTAATTTTGGTTTCCTCCCTAAATATTCTACTTATTTTACTGTTGAGCTTTGTTTCAATTTAGTTATTTTACCGCACGTATCAATCATTTCAAGATTTCGCGACCGTACCGAACAAATTCTATACTAAAGAAGCTCAAAAAAAAAAAAACTTTTGGTGAGCTCTACCGCATTGCGAATCACTTCTGCGTCTCCGTAGACGTAGGCGCGTTGATTCCGACAGCCGCGAAAAGTTAAACATGCATCAATACCACATAAGGAAATATCGATTTTACGTATGGTTTAGTTCATAGATTAACATTGACTGCTGTTTAAAAATGTAAGTACTTGAACACTAAGAAATAAGGTAACTCAAATGCTTTAACCGCATGTATAAGAGATTTCGCTATTGAGAGAATAATATAGTAATCGAGTACAACAAACTCAGGGGAATACAATACCTCCAAAAGTTTAAAAGCTATTAATTGTCACATTCCTTTCCTTTTCTTATTTCCTAAACTATTCCTCTCCTTGTAAATCTGTTTAATGCTGGTCTGCCCTAAGTTCAAGACTAAATAAGAAGATTTATTCTACAACTTTAAAGGTTAATTGCCTCCCTAAGCGGACCCCCCGCATGCTAATTCTTTTGTTAATCTACTTAATGTCATTAGACTTTCTGAAGTTTCTTATTTAAGTTCATTTGATGATTATGATATCTCATTAGTCTAATTTAATAAATTATTAAAAGCTCTAATTCACCTAATCAATCGTAACCCATGCTTTATCAGGTACCGGCACTTGTGCTTGTAATCTAAAATTAAACGTGTTTCAAGTACTTTTGATTTAAGCTTATACCTATTTATTATATCTTAGTTCGACCCAGGTAACACCTTCATGTGACTAAAATGCTTCATTTTGAAGTTAGTTTTCTAGCTGATTTTTAAATTATATAGGGTATATGTTCCAATTACGCTCTCATGTTTCCACTCTGTCGCACCACAAAAATACATATGGGTATGTCACAATAGAAGCACACCACAGTGGAAATCCCGAGCCATAGTTCAAACACTTATCCCAAATCAAAATGAAGCACATATAAGATTAGTTACAATACCATGTACAAAAATGATGTTTAACATTGTTTCCTGAGTAATACTTCAATGAAAACAACAATGAAAGCTTGTCACGCAAATAGAAGGAGCACCGATGGGCACTTTCTGAAATATTTCAATAGTATAATTCCCTTGCAAACCCAAATAAATCTATCTGCGTAAAAAATAAATAAAATAAGAGTGATTTGCGGCCAAACCCGCCAGTATCACACCCAACGTCAGTGCCTATACGTAAGCGTACTACGACGCGGCTCTCAATAAAAGGAGTAACAAGTGTGATACTATCACTGCTAGACTAGATCTTTGGTTCTCTCATGCAGTGGTTTATCAGAGAGGGGAAGCTTAGTAATCCCCATTGCTTGCCTATGACGCCATTCTATCGCGGCATGAGCCAGCAACGCCGACCATAAACCTACCGTCTCCAACACTCCACTATAAAGCATGAAATTAAGCCCGCCCACCAACAGCAAGGTGCAAAAACTAGCCAAGGGGAGGGCGCATTGTTTAACAGCAATTCTGATATGAAACTGAATAGTTTTGTGAGGATTTTAGAACCATGTATGTGGTTCGATAGACTTGAAATTTTTCAAGATATTGAACAACTATATAGATACGTTTTTGTTTTGTATAATTGTTCAAAACCCGGCAGGTCGAGAATAGCCTCGTAAAATTGTCTTATTTTGGTTGAAAACAAGTATTCTAATGCATGCAACGGTTGTCTTGGAAGCCTCTCAATTAACTAACAGCTTATGATGGACATTGGTCCAGTAGGAATGTAATAAGCCAGGAAAAAATATATGTACACCAAAGTTGAAACCCTTAGTTAGGGCCATATTTATACTGAAATCGTTTGCATAGCATCAATTGATGCATTGAACCTGTTGATATTGTCATATGAAATGATCACAAACCGCCAAAAGCTGACCCTTTATAATCTGAACAACATGGTCGAAGACCACAAATCTGTACGAATTTCATCCCAAAGCGTCTATGGAAATTGCAGCACCCTCTCAGATTTTAATTAAACTTTGTGAGACTTTGTCTAATTAAACAACTTTACAAACTTGTTTTCCTTGACAAAAAAATCTATACAATTTTTTTTGCAAAGGGCTGAACTTTTCAAAATTTTCTAACAAAAATAATAAGAAAATTTGGTCAAAGAGTGCATTGCCGAAAATTATTCACATTTATTACGAGGTTTATTAAAAGATATAAAAAATAATAACATAAAAATCCTACACCAAAAAAAAAACAATCGTAAAATAAATTGAAATTTCTCTTACCAAAATTTAAAAAAAAAAACAGATGGGCACTTTATACTTAATTATTTTTTGAAGAACTTTTCATGTCAGCACTCAACTGGATTTTATTTTATAATTTCAGGTTTTTTTATCAGGTTTTAAATCTACGCTGACGAGCTCGGTAGCTTACTGATTATTGTTTCTGCTTACTGAGCAGAAGGTCGTGAGTTGAATCCCAGGCCCGTCCTTTCCTTGCAATTTGTCACTATGTTTTAAGCTATCCCCATTGCTATTATACATCTGCCAGCAAACGTTTACCGAAGGTATCCTATGCTTTTCCCTCCCACTAACAAATCTCCAAACTCCTGTGACGCTTATGAGAGATCGTAGAGTTCTCTGCATTTCTCTTAAATGAGTGTCCAACAAACAATCTAACAAGGAGACCTGAGGACAGTTCTCGATTATTGGAGATAGTGCTACTTCCATCTAAGAGGCCGAGATCAATCCCATAATCTCTATTGGCCAAGAAAAGGCTTGCCAAGTTACATAAAAAATCAACTACATCCGAACATATTTTATATAAAATATATTTTATATAACCGTAAACCATATATATACCACAAACCGGACTTGGTCATTTTGGTCTTCGTCAAGCGGATCGTCTACAATTTGGACCTATATATCTACACATGTCAAGTAGACCTGTGCGCCGCTGCCGCCGACGATTTTTATACGCCGCCGCCGCAGTAATTCTTTTACGCCACCGAATAAGTTTATGTCACGCAGATAAAAATCCGCAGCACCTTTTCGGTAAAATGCATCTTGAACGCTTTAAAATTAGAACTTGTGTGTGATGCAGCGATTGTCATTTAGTTCTTTGACGTTTGTTCGCACTTTCTCGATCTAGCACTCAGGAATGAATCAAACCAGTAACGCT